TATGTAAAACATATTGTAAAACATTCTGGGCGATCATCCAATCAGATTTAAAGCCCGCTATGCTGAGAGTAGGTAGATACGCGTAAAGTGGGTAAATAAGATATTTATTACTGATAAATCCAAACTATTAAAGAATCTACCGTATACATAAGATATAAATTGAAACCACTAAAACTTTAACTATTAATTTACGGTTGACAAGCTCAAATGCACTACAAGAACCGTCCAAATTTAAATATTAATCACAGATCTTCTTGATAAAGAGCTTATAACTATTCTTATACCCTGGTCACTATATCAAGATCGCAGGGCATAAATCAGTTATTTCCTGGGCACTATGTGATAAGCGGGGCTGAAAGTCCCGCTTATACCCAACTGCCCAGGAAATAACTATTACAAAATAAACATAGAAATAAAAGTTTATTTAAATCTAACGTAATAAAATAGGTTTAGACGAAAACATTTCTGGTTACCTTTATTCTACAGTATATAATTTGATATGGCCCAATAAACGGTATGCATATTTTGCTTTCTAAGTAAAGTTCGTGGGGGATACTGATTATTACTGATTATTTTTGTATAGTGAATATCGAAGCAAAAAAAGGCTTTTACGGTGCATTTTTTGTTAGTGAAACGTTGTGTTCCCAAAAAAGTACTTTAAAGTGTATAAATAAGTTACCCAGGCAATTAATTTACACCAGCCAATCAGATGAACGTCCTCCTATGAGTCCCACATGGTCCACCGAACCTGTACCAACCCGGGTTTTAACCCATGCCATAAAGACCCGTCCCAATCCGGTGCATTTTTCTTATAGGTTGGCTGATTAATCTGCCACCAATCTGACACACATTCAAGGGGTTCAAGGGGTATAATTTTAAATTTATATTGTCAAACTTCACACCTCACCTGATGATCCTCCAATTGTATGGCCGATTAATTTTGTGAAACTTTTAAAAAAAATGTATTATAAAGATCTAAACATCAAAAAAAATGTCTACTCGTAAGGTATTTGCGTTTAAAGTTTCCACCGGAAGTACATACGCACGCATGGTGCGTTGGGGTGGTTGATCACCTAATAGAATCAAACATATGTTTAGTCTCATTAATTTTTGTATAATGATAGATTTTTTGATCAAAAAATTATCACCGTGATTTTTATAATAAAAGAATAGTAATAATAGTTTTTTATTATTTCTCGCTTAATAATAAGTTTTCTCTTTCAATTTTAACATATTTCGACCTTTATTGCATTCTAAACAACTTTATGATTTCAAGTTTTATATATCATATCAAAATTTTCAAATAAAACATATTTCAAATTGATATATATATAGAGTCTAATTATACCAATTTTGAAATATATCTGTTAATTAAAAATTTTTAATATGACATTTAAATTTTGAAAATATAAAGTTGTTAAGAATGTAATAAAGATTGGAAGATTTTAAAATTAGAAAAAAAAATTATTATTAAACGATAAACAACAAAAAATAATTTTACTATTTTTTTATTATTATAAAAATTATGATAATAATTTTTTGATCAAAAAATCTATTATTATACAAAATAAATGAGACTATTCGATTTTATTAGGTGATCGGCCCAATGGTGCGTGCATTAATTCATTGCATATGGTGATTTAATGTATTGACTTCGGTTATTCCCGTGAAAATTATCAATCCCGGTGGTATTGTATATACTCAAATGACTTGTAATACGTATCTACAATCATAAATATGGAGCGTCATTCAATTTCATACCAGTTTATTGCTATATTGCAAAATGCTTTCCGACATAATGTTAAACCGTCATAACATTTCCGTTCCTTATACAATACATGTATTATACATAGAGATGGGCTATATGTAAATTTTTTACTGGGCAAACATTTCAAATTATTATTCAATTATTTACATTCGTTACAAAGAATAATATATTGGTTTTTAGGCTAGGCTTAAGCATAATAAGAATTCAGCGCAAAAGTTATAAATAGTTCTTGCCTGTATTACGTTAGTAATGGGCCAAAATTATCTTAATGCCATATGAATTAATGGTTAAGACAGTTAAATGATTAGAATATTTTGATGAAATATCACACAAATGAAATTGAATCATGCATGTAGATGCGCATTAATGCACACATACAAAATTAAATTGGCCCATCTTAGATATACTAGAAAATAGGTGCTGTAAGATGTCCGAAGTCAATAATTTCATTTTTTATAGTGAATTAAAAATAAAAAAAAAACAATTGGCTAATAGTAAATATAACGATGATCATCTAATCTAAAAATAGGTACGGACATAAACACACAAAATCTGGTCTATAACTACACCATTAAGTTCTCGCTTCGATTTGGAAAATTATAATCAGAGCTAGCAAATTTTTCTATGTAAATCTTTGGGGAAATAAACATATTCAGGAATCATGCGCATGAATGCACATGGATGCTCACCGGCCTATCTCTAACTATATATGATTCATAGGTTTATCATTGATTACGTATTTATTTAAATAATAAATGATAAACCAATGTCCCATTTTTTCTTGGCGTCACTCATATGACGTTATTTCCGGCTATGGTTTCTAAATCCCGATTTTAAAAAACATTTTTAGAAAAGAACATATTACTTGTTACATTACCCAAAATTTTGTCAAACTGATAACTTCGTAATCAGAGACATACATCAATTTTATTGAATTTGCATAAAAATTTGAACCGAAACAAAGCATGCGATGCAGATATATACATATCATACGTATGTTCGTACGTGCATACAAATTAGGGTGTCCAGGATTATAATATGCGCATAATTTGACGTGCTGAATAGGAATTATACGCCATAGAACTTGTATAATTTAGGCTATTTCGCATAATAATTCGCATAATATTATGTATTAGATTATTTGTCCAGAAATTGGCAAATAAAAGGTTTTCTTACCTTGTATATCAATATACTGTATATATGTACGTAGACTGCTTAAAATTGATTTGATCAAACTAATATTTTGAACTTGGATATGTATATGTACATGGAGAAAGGTTCTTCTTTAGTATTGGTATTAGAATTATTATAAAATTATAATATATAAAAACCATCTATTTTAAGCCAATTTAATCTAATTATTTTGCTTAATTTAAATTCAAATGGTTAATTTTTATATATTATAATTTTATAATAATCCTATATGCCCACTTTATAAAGATGGGCCAAATGCTAAAAAGGGGTCAAAGTTGACAATTTTTTAATTTTTTCTTTTTGCATAAATCAATTTAGAATAAGATTAGAACTTTTTTTATTTAAGACACAAAAGTAGTTATATTAATAAATTTTATAAATTTTGCACTATAGCTTTTTAAAGTTTGTATTTTCTTGTAATCTATTATAAGATTTATAATATTAAAATTTGATCTTTTTTTTGTCAATTTTATTCATTTTTCCAGCATCTAGCCAAAGTGTTATTTTTGCACATTTTATATAATTTGTTATATAGTGTATAATATGTGTATGTTTTAAGCTAAAAATTTTTATAATTTATATAATTTACAATTTGCTATATATATAATTTATCTATTTTAGAGATTGGAACTAATCAAAAAACTTATAACTAGTCAAAAGTTATATTTTATTGGTTTTGACTAGTTAAACAAATAAAATTCATCAAATTTACAATAAACGTTAATATTACGAAAGAAGTTTAAAACTTTAAACTTACTTGATATATTAAACTTTTAAAAGATAATATTACAACTTGCTATATATATATGTGTGTAGTATATATATATAACAACAGTAAGTTATAGAGCAAGTCAATAAAAAAAATATTTTTTTTAATTGAAATTTTCTTAACTTTAAGTTTAAATATCTTAGTAATCAAATTTTATAAATTTTTTTCATTTTAATTCTATATAATTATTGCCATATTTAATTTTATAATTATTAATAATTTTTAAAATAAACTTTTCTTGATAACTACCAGGTAAACTTAATGAAATTTTTTTATTTCAATTCTATAAGCTTGTAACATCAAATAAAAAAAATTATTGAGCTTAATCACATAGTTATTGAGAAATTTTGCTAAAAGATATAAAAAAATCACATGTTTATATAGCATAGTCAATCAAAAAAGGTAGGTGAAAATTAGTGCATCACAGTCATATCACCTTGTTTTGAATACACGATATACATCACTTACTGGGGTGTCTATACTCCTCTAGCACACCCATATAATTTGTTCCCTCCCGTGATTTTGACCAATCAAGTTTCAAGATCAAGTGTAACGTAAATAATCGAAGTGAACCCATTTTTTTTCAACAAAAACAGAAATAACTCGAAATTTAATTTAGAAAGCACCTACGGCCTAATTAAAAATGTTCCTCATGAAATTTTACTAATATAAACCTAACCTAACCCTAACTGCAACGTTGTAATAAAAATTACGGAGAGAACAATTTTTGTGGATGCGCTACCTAAGATTACAACTAGAGATGGGTAAAATGCGCATGAATGCGCACGTTATATAAAATGCGCATGATATCGCATGATATAAGTTTTTTTGATTTTATATTTTCCCTCCGGAAAATGTCTGGTATTTGCCAAAATTTTTTCCCAACCCTTCTCGTCTTTATGTTCATTCATTTTCTTTTCGGAAAATTTCAAAACTTTAACATTCCTATTTTTTAATTTTGCCTGGCATTATACAACTTGGCCTAAATTAAATATACTTTAATTTTCCTATATGAAATTTAGATGGGATAAAATGCGCATGTTTCCGAATCATGCACATTAATGCGCATTAATGCGCACGCATGAAACCCATCTCTAACCCTAACTAATGTTTGATATAATTAGTTTAGGCGCACCCTAACGTTTCGTACAAACATACTTATTAGCGTTAGATACATACAGTTTAGAGAAATTCGTGTAATTTACAAAATTATTATAAGTTTGGCGTAAATTATTCCAATGAAATTATACCTTCTTTTACATCGAAACTATGTCACAACAAACAAAAAAACGGATAATAATATTTGTCATTATCATCTTTTTTATGATATTGTGTCTGATCAATTTTTATTTTCCAACCACGCTTGAAAAACCTTTAGGATTAAAAAAATCAAAATCAGTAAATTATACCCTTGGTTTCGATCATATTTTTGCTATTAATCTTAGTTATCGATTAGATAGACGTGAAGACATGCAAGAGATTGCTGATTTTCTTGGTTTAGATTTCGACTTTTTCCCTGCTGTCTCCAGGTTTGATAGAAAATTTCTCAACAAATATAATCTTGCTGGACTGTCAAATGCTCAAAAAGCTTGCTATCTAAGTCATTATCTTATATATAAAGAAATCGTCAAAAATGGTTATAAAAGTGCATTGATTTTAGAAGATGATGTAGATATTGAATTTGAAATTTCTAGAATAGTGAGTGATCTCAGCCGTGATTTACCCTATGATTGGGATATGTTTTACATTTCTCATTATAATTACGAAGAAGGAGAAATTTTAGCAGAAAGCGGTGAATTTAAACTAATTAAATCTACTAATCCAATTAATACGCATGGTTATGCCGTCTCGGATCGTGGTGCTCGCAAGCTAATAGAGGATCTTAACGTCAATAAGCCAGCCAATCCTATTGATGTAGAATTGACAAGTAGAGTTCATAGCGGATTCGTCAGATCATATAGTATTGATCGAACAACTATGATACAATGGAAAACGCACGATAATCCATCGGATATTCCTGATAGTAGACCCCCATTTGAACGTCAAGAATTATTAAATTCCACTAGGAGGATTCTTGGATATAAACAAATGTGGGATTATTATTAATGCTGTATTCCTTTATCAGTCACCGAACGTAAAAATCAAATATATAGCTTATGTCCGAATATATATTTTTTCTTTATATGTTTTATATTTTTGTTTACAAATAATATAAAATGCACCTATGGTGTTTAGCACCATATATAATTGTTTTAAATAAAATTTAGGGTTAGGGTATGGGTTAGTGATGCCTGACGAAACCATGTGATGCTAATTGTCACACGGTACACTATATAAAAATCAACGAACTTTTTATAAGTAATAGCATGTGATAATTAGCATCACATGGTTTCGTCAGGCATCACTAGTATGGGTATTAGGAATTATTTTTTTTTTATATAATATAATATAGAGCTAATATAAGGTCCCAATCTCAGTTCTCGTGAGGCTTTTGGGGTCCTAAACATTTTTACTTAGAGTACCCGATCCCGTTTACTTGGTACATTTTTGAGAAATAAAGACCTATGGTATTGAACACCATAGGTGCAGAATAGTAGTGTTGTTTGTTTATATTAAAAATGTTAATATTTGAATTATTATGAAAAAAACAAAGACCATGGAGACTGTTCTACGTCATTTTTTAATTTATGTCACTTCGAAATTGACATAAAATAAAATAAAGTTAGACCTCTCTAAATGTGTAAGTAAAGTAAATTACGGCATTATAACCGTAACTTACTATATTACTTACTATAGTTACGGCAAATTACGATAATCAATGGGACGATTTTACCGCATCACTACTCGTGCTAACGACATGTAAAAATTATTATATAAAAACTTTAATATAAAATTTTTATTGTGTCAAGAAAAAGTGTTTATACGAAATTTATCTAATAAACAATATTACCTAACTTTACATACTATATCGTAAATTTTTATTGCGTCAAGTGTTTATTCGAAATTTATTTGGTAAACTTTTATTACTTAACTTATATATTATATCATAAAATGTTCATGAAATCTATTTCGTGTGTCCCTGGTTCTTAGAAGGTTTTTCACTTGGTTCAGATTTTTTATGTCATCTATCATGTTTTGAATTGGCGTAAAATTTGATTCAATATTTTTTTTTCAACCATTTTTTTTCTGCTGCAGAAGGTTATAAGACTTTTTAAGAAGGTCAAGTACCTATATCAGAATAGTATCGATTTCAAATTTAGATATTTTATTTATTATGCTGCATAATTTTAAAGAATTTTTAGTATTGAACTATAATTTCCAATTTGCTTTCTTCTTCACTTGATTCGTCATCTTCTACAATATTACTGTATTATCGTTATTGTTAAAAACAGTTGAAGTAATCATTATAGGAAGTTGTGCATTATCAGGTCGTGTTATAGGTGGCATCATGAATAAATTTTTAAAGGCCATTATACTGTATTGCAATAAGTTCCATTCTTGCACTCTCTTCTTCTATATTATCCATAAATCCTTTATAAACTGCATTTTCGATATCTTCAAGTTCTATAGCACTTTCTTGCTTATTGTTGTTAAGCTATATAAAAAATTTTTATTAAATTGACTAAACCACCGTAGATCATCACTGAATATCAGTTTGTCCACCATGCTTGTAATTGTACTATCACCATAAATAATTCCTGATAGAGATTTTGATTTTTTAATCAGTGATAAAGGCGTGCCTGTTAGACTTGTCAGAATTTACTGCTTACAGCTGTTCTCATAAATTCTGGGACAATGATAAAAATTGCCCGATGATCATTCGGCCAGCATAGCGGGCTTTAAATCTGATTGGATGATCGCCCGGAATGTTTCACAATATGGTTTACATATTAGCGTAAC